GAAGCTGCGCGCGTCGAGCGGGTCGTCGTCGACCCTCGCCGGGCGCAGGGGCAGCAACAGGCAATCCTCGAGCTCGCGGTTCTTGAGCCCGATTTCCCTTGCGACTTCGTCGGAACGGTAGCGCCAGAGCTTGGGCGACCGCGGGCCCCCTGAACACGGCCTGATCATCTTGAGCAGCTGTTCAGGTTGCAGGCCGATCTGGTGAGAGAGCATCTCTCTATCATCTCCTTCGTCGGGCTCGCGTGCAGCTTGAGGCCGCGTGCGCTCGCGTCCTCAGCCTGCAGAAATGCGGACTTGACGCCCGCGCTGAACAACCTCCACTTCCTTAGAGACGCCCAGCGCATGACCGTGTGTCGGCCAAGCCTGCTGAGGGTCGGCGCCTCCTTGTCGAGCTGGCCCTCGGCGACGTCGCAGCGCTTGAACCCTTGGTAGAGTACGCACGCATTGGCCACCTTCTGCCCATTTCTCATCTTCCACTTGAGCACGAAGTGCAGGGGGCAGCAGGCTCCAGGATCCACGTCCACCTCGTTGATGGCCTCCAGCCATCATTGCGATTGAAAACCTCGAGGGCCTCAAGCTTCGCCGCGTAGAACTGGCCCTTCTCCTCGGGCGTCAGCCTACCCTCCACGATGGCGGGGACTTTCCTTTTGAAGGCCAGCGTGTAGACCGTCTCGGTGGGCTCCTCCAACAACAGCATCTCGCCTTCCACCTCGTCGGCGAGCGCAGCCTCTTCGCCCTGCGGGGCGAGCTTCGCCCACGACAGGCGGGTGCGCTTGGTCAGCGGCATGCCGTCCAGCTTCTCAGCTTCCTCGACGCTCCTCGTAGCCATAGCCTCGATGTGGACCCTGCTGGGCTCCTGCGCAGCGCTGCCAGACGCGCCGGCGCTGGCCGCGGCTGGTCCGCCGTCCTCGTCCTCGCCGGCCGTCGTCGGCCGAGGATCTCCAGGAGCCGCCGCGCCGCGGCAGCTGCTCCTGTCGGGCCGTCGGTCTCGTCCGTCTCCATGGGCACCTGGCCGCGTGGCGGCTGCTGCTCGCCCGCGTCGCCCATGTGGTCGTCGCACTGGGGCGAGCGCCCCTCCTCGGCGAGGTCCCGGTAGTTGCAGGTTCCCTTCGTCCGTCTGAGCGCGCGCCTGAGCATCTCGATCGTGCTGAGCGGGCTGTCGAGGTCCTCGCTGCGCCCTTCTCGTTCGCGGGCCTCGCCTGGCAGCTCGGAGCGAAGCTGCTCCGCGGTGCAGCGGTAGATCGCGCGCCCGTGAGTCACCCACACCACCGAGGCGTACATCACGTTGTCCTCGTTGACCTTCGCCTCCACTGCTACCGCCAGAGCTGGGCCGTGCCAGTGGCACTTCTCCAGCCCCTGCGTCTGCTGGGGTCGCCAGAAGTAGACCCACTCGCCGATCTCGTAGTTCCTCCTCGTTGGCCTGCTGCGCACCAGCAGCGCCGCTCGCACAACGCGCGAGCAGTTGGCCTCGATGAAAGCCGTCGCGGCAGCCGTTCTCCTGATCATCATCTCGCGCACCTCGCTGTTGAAGTCGACCAACGCGGCCTGCTCCGACAGGCCGAAGTCCTCGTCGCAAAGGGCGCCAGGGATCTTGGGCTGCGCCCCCAAGACCAGCGCCGCGGGCGAGAACCCTTGCACGTTCCTCAGGGCGTTCCGCTGGCTGGCGGCCATCCTGAGGCCTAGTCCTCCTCCGTCCCAGGTGGAACTCTCCTGACGATTCCACCAGCCCTGCCAGCCGTTCCAATCTGCATAATTGGCCTCGTCGCCGTCCACGCTGCTCGGCGGGATGCGGCTGCCCTCGGCGCCGGTGTCGGCGGGAGCGGCGGGCGAGGCTGCCGGCGGGCCACCAGGTGGCGGCTTGGCCGGGGGCGGCACGCGCGGCGTGCCGTCTGGCATGGCGGCGACGGAGGAACCGGAGAGAGTGGATCTCCAGCTCCGCTACCAATATCAACCGATGGTAGCACACGAAGTCTCCTCGGGATGTGTTCGATAGAATTGATTACCTGGATAATCGTATCAACTCGTAAGATACGCAACCCTTTCAACTGACTCAGGGGCCCCTGAACATCAAATGGCAATGGAAAGACATATGTGAAACAACTGCTTGAAACACACCTGCTATGCTGAATCTGCTGAGCTGTGCTGATGCACAAGACAACGTACACGTAACTCGGTATAACGTGGGTAATATTGACAGCGGGCACCCTCCTCCCCCAAACGCCATCAAGTGGGAGGAGGTGCGACCGCTAAAGCGGCTGCGAGGGGAGGTCAGCCTTGCCGCCCCCGCCCTCGGCCAAGCTCAGGCTCCCTGAGGCTTCCTTGCGCGCTTTGAATTCTATTTCGTCTGCGCAGGTGGTTCACCGTCCAGCCTCGCCGCGAAGAAATATATGTATGTGTATTTATGTATACATGCATGCATGCATGCATGTATGTATGCATGCATGTATGGATGTGTGTATGCGTGTATGTATGCATGTATATGTATGTATGTGTGTACGTATAGACGTGTGCATGTATGTTTGGTTGTATGTACGTATACACACATATGTATATATGTATGTATGTGTACACTTATGCATGTATGCATATATATATATATATATATATGTATTTGCGTATACATGACTGGTTTGATGCATGCATGCATGTATGTATGTGTATGTTTGCATGCACGCATAAATGTATGCATGCATGTATGTATGTATGTGCGTGTGCATGTATGTGTGTATGTATGCGTGTACGTGTGCTTGTGTCTTAGCTTGGGTGCTTATCTGTATGCATAGATGCTTGCATGCATGCATGTATGTGTGTTTGGATGTGCGGATGTATCGATGTGTGGGTGCATGCCTGGTGATATGCGTACGTATTGTTGTATGCATGCATACATGCATGTATGTATGTATGTACATATACACATGTGAATGCATGCATGTATGTATGTACGTACGTACGTACGTACGTATGTATGTATGTATGTATGTATGTATGTATGTATGCACGTATGCACGTATGCATGTATGTATGTATGTATGTATGTATGTATGTATGTATGTATGTATATGTATGTGTGTATGTGTGTATGTATATATATATATATATATATATGTATGTGTGTATGGATGTACGTACGTATGTACGTACGTACGTACGTCCGTACGTATGTATGCATGCATGCATGCATTTATGTATGTATGTATGTATGCATGTATAGGATTATGTGTATGTATTACTGTTTTCCTGGTAAGCTGTCGCGGCCCCACGGCGCCGCCACTGCGATCCTCCACGATGAAAGTGGATTCGAAGAGCCCCAGAGTCAAATTCAATGTGTTAATGATCACAAGCTTTCTTTTTTGGGGAGGGGGGAATCTTCGCTTGTCCTGGCCCGAGCTGCCGCCGTAGAAGGGTAATTGCGTGGGCATGGCAAGACCCCATGGTGGAAAAGAAGCTGTTGGCTTGATGGCAGCGTGGCTGACAGATGAAGGCGCGGCTGAGGAGAGGGACGGGGTGAGAGCGAGGCTGAATAATACATATAAGACAGTGACGAAGTAAGTGTTCGAGGAAGTGGAACGAACTTGATGGTAGAAGGTGGATGCGCATGGACAGTGGGAGGCCGATGTGGGGGAGGACGGAGAACAAAAGGAGTAGGACACAACATCAAACACAAGGCAACGACAAGAAATTCTTTCAAAAAACGGTTGCAATCATGCAGGCAACGGGTCGGACAAAACCCCCCCGGAACAAGAAGTGAAAATCTGTCGCGTTACCTCTTCTTTCCGTCGACTGGACGCCTGGACCACTGCCCGGGGAGCGGTTCTACGCCCCGCCAGCTCCGTTCTGGCCTCGGGGCCCGAAAGCTAGAAAAGCGCGCTCCACTACGCGCCAAAGAACTACTCGCAAATGGCCTGCATCCGCCGCGGGGGATTTACGATCCACCACATAGAGAGAGGCATGCCTTTTGTCGGACGTTTGCGAGTCGGCGCTTTGCGAGTAGTGGAACGCGCTCGGTGAAGAGCGCCCCCCCCCCCGCCGCCGAGGTCGAGGGAGGGCGCCGCGGCTCTGAGAGGCCCATCCGCTGGAGCCCTGCTCCCGTCGCGATCCTGCTCCTCCTGCGCGGACCTGGAGCTCCGGGCCGCCCCCCCCCCCTCTGATTGGCCTGTTTTCCACCACCACCACCATAAGTTGGAGGGGGGAGGAGGAGGAGGACGAGGAGAAGGAGGACGAAGAAGAGGAGGAGGAGGACCCCCTCCCCCTCCAACTTATGGTGGTGGTGGTGGAAAACAGGCCAATCACCCTCCGGTCTTGGCTGCCCCGGCACGCCACGCGCAGCCCGCAGCGTGCTGGCACGGCGCTCAACGCGCAGACCGGACACGCAGAGCTGGCGCGACACGCTCGCCACAGAACGTGGGGCCAGCACGTGCCGAGGCCAACGCGCAGCGTGTTCCCACGGACGCTCTGAACAATTTCTACGTCGCAGCGCGGCAGAGGCAGTCCGCACGCGCGCTCCACCGGCCGGGAGACGGCATCACGAACGTTTTGAACACGGTATGTACATGCTGCGTTTCAAAACGGGCGCATCAGGGCATCCAAGCCTCCGACAGGTCACTCAACAGCGCGCATCGCGCCCCACGATGCGCGACGCGAGATCATCTTCGCGCCCTCGCGCCGAGCCCTGGAGAAGGGCAGCTCCCCGGCACAGGCCGCGACGCACGCAGCGCGCTTAACGGCGCACCCCTGGGAGTCGACCTACGGTCGGGAGCTTCTGCTTAGCGTGTCGCTGCGGCGGCCCCGGCGACACGCCATACCATCAAGAGTGTAGCGTGTCGCTCCGCTCCGCGTGGCGGGAGGCTGGGAAAGGCGCGAGGGGCGCTGCTGCTTGGGCATGGCGACGTGGTCAGCGTGTCGCGCCGAAGCGTGGTGGGCCAGAACCGGCGGCGCCACACGCTAAACCAAAGTGGCTGAACACAGCCCTCGCATCTCGAGGCGGCGCGCAGCCAGCCTGCCTGCGCCACTCGGGCATCAGGTCACCATCCTCCTCGTCCTCGGCGTCGTCGGGCGAACCTGGCTACGGTCGTAGGCTGCGCTGCCGCCGCGGTCGTCGTTGGCGTCATCGTCGAGGGGTCAAAGATCTTCGCCATCCCTCCCTGCCTCCCCTAGTTACTCCTCGTCCTCCTCGCCGTCCTTCTCGGACACCGACTGGACCTCTCTGGCCCCTCTTGGGCCCCCAGAGGGACCTCCGGAGGCATCCCGGGGACTTTTCCTGCTCACTATCCTTCTCCTCCTTCTCCTTCTCCTCCTTCTCCTCCTCCTCCTCCTTCTCCTCGTCCCTCTCCTCCTCCTCCCTCTCCTCCTCCTCCTCCTCCTTCTCCTCCTCCTCGCCTCCTCCTCTTTCTCTTCCTCCTTATATTCCTCCTTCTCTTCCTCCTTCTCTTCCTCCTTCTCTTCCTCCTTCTCTTCCTCTTCCTTCTCATCCTCCTCCTCCTCCTCATCTTCTGCCTCCTCCTCCTCCTTCTCCTCCTTTCCTCCTCCTTCTCCTCCTCTTCCGCCTCCTCCTCCGCTACTTGTGAGCCCCTGCGCGGCCACGAACAAGAAGGGCAGGCAGAATTGGAGGACTGGACAACGATAAGGGCAAGCACGAATAGGAAGGGCAAGCAGAAGAAGAAGGGCAGCCTCCCCTGTTATGCTTCCGCCGCCTTTCGCCATGCGTTCGCATAAGAAGAGACCAGGGCAGCTTCTCTGGAGCGCCCCACCTGTATCGCAGATGCCGTGGAATCGGCTGCGCTGCCTCACAGGGAATGCTGGCAATATCAAGAAGCACCGAGTCGGGAAATCGGATCGAATCTGAATGTTCGTCGGATCGGGCCGCATCGGCAACGGAGTTCGAATGGAACCGAATCGCTCCTGCCAGGATCACGACAACTCCACGCACACATCGGGCCGCATCGGACCGTCTGAACAATTGGAATCGGATCGGACCGAGAACCCCAAAATCGACATCGAATTGGACCGATCGGATCGACATGAACCCGTCAAGTTCTCTCACCCGTGGGTCGGCGGCGAGCTCAGGGGGGAAGTGAGAAGGGGCGGATCTTCTCAGAAGGCTCGGAAGTCCCCCGGCCTTCTCAGAAATGCCCTTTTCCCTCCCCGAAGACATACCAAAAACTTCTCGGAAGGCGCGAGGGCTCCTGAGAATCTGCGAAGGCCGCCTCCTTCTCACTTCCCCCCTGGGTGTGCCGCCGAATTTGGTTTTTGAGCCATGATTCGGGTCTCTGGCGGCCGTTCGGGACGAAACTTCCCCCCCTCGCTCGCCGTCGGGTGGGTTTTCGAACTCCACGATGCCTGGGTTCGAACGTCGAGCGCCTCTGCCGCACACCCCTTCTTGGGAGCGGCCGCAGGGGCTGGCCTGCCCGGCGCACTCTCGTCTTTCGGGGGCGACCACTGGGCCTGCTGATCCTCCTGCACAGTGTTCCTCCTCCTCCTCCTTCTCCTCCTCCTCCCCTTCCTCCTCCTCTTCCTCCTCCTCCTCCCACTCCCCCCCCCCCCCTCCTCCTCCTCCTCCTCCTCCTCCTCCTCTCCTCCTCCTCCTCCTCCTCCTCCTCCTCTCCTCCTCCTCCTCCTCCTCCCTCCTCCTCCTCCTCCTCCTCCTGCTCCTCCTGCTGCTCCTCCTCCTCCTCCTCCTCCTCCTCCTCCTTCTCTTTCTCCTTCGAGAGTCGGCTCCCAAAAAGGCCAGAAAGCGTCCACAGAAGCTTGAGTATTCCATGCTCGCTCCTTCTTCCCCTCCCCCCCTCGCCCCTCATCCCTGGGCCGCTCGTGTCTGATCCGCTCACTGCCCTCGGCGGACCTGCGCGTACCCAAGCGTCCGACGGATTGCTTTGTTCCATCCGCGGCCCCAAAGGTCTCGGCACTTCTCCCCAGACCGGCTTTCCGTCCAGGATCGGTTTTTGACGACTCGGCGGCCTGAAACTACGTTCCTTTCTACAGCCAGCACGTACAATAAGGACGCACGATCAGGATGCAGGGGCCTTGGAAGGCCATGCCGACATTTTGCGGGCGGGGCGCGACCAGCGAAGGCGGTCAGGAATGGACCGAAAGGGAAGGATGCAAGGGAAATCCTGGAAATTTGCTCACCCTTACTCTGCGGATTGGCTGTAAGCCCGGTCAGCGTCTGAGCCCGTTCGGCTGCCGAATGAGCACTCGAACGGGCTCCCTTCTGACAGGGGCCTGTGAAACAGAGCCCGCTCGGGCGCCGAGCGGGCTCGAGCCCGAGCCCGTCCAGCGGCAAATGGGGGCTCAGACGCCGCACGGGCTCAGCAGGGAGCTTCTGGGGCCGCCTGGGAGGAGGAGGAGGAGGAGGAGGAGGAGGAGGAGGAGGGGGAGGAGGAGGAGGAGCTGATGCAGACCCCCTGGTGCAGAAACCGAAATCGCAAAGCAATGTCGCAAAACAATCCGCCCGAGCCTGGGTAGCGTGGCCTCTGCGCTGGCCTGCCCTGGCCGCCGGCCGTGTCCCATCGGGGGACGTCAGCTGTCCACATCCCCGGCCCTGGCGCCGGGCCAATCCTGGGGGCATGATTGGTGCACACGCCCTCCTCACGAGGCGAGACATGATACAGCCGAAAATATGATCAACAAAAACTGTCATTCAAGAACCCTGGGCGAGCTTACCGGACGTTTCCTAAAACAAGCCTGGGCCAGCTTGTGCCGTTAACGCTGGAGGGGCGAACTTGTTCAAGAAACTGGGCCAGCTGACTGGCAAGCTGGATAAGAAACGCTGGCGCAACTTTTCGGGAGGAGGCTTCTGAATCAGATGCTCGACTGTACATAACGGCCGCCTGGGGAGCCGACGGCTCAAATAGGCATTTGGGATCAGGGTGGCGCTTACCGCGCCCCAGGCCCAGCAGTTTGCATAGCGTCTGACTGCTGTTCTTCAGTAGTTCTGGAGAGACCCGAATCCAAAGGAAAAACAATATCATTCTCGTTTGATCTCGTTGAATAAATTCTCAGGGATGCAGATATCTTTGGGCCCGAGGGTATTCACAGCTTCTTCCTCCGGGAGTCGTCCTGGGACCTCGGCTCCCCAGGCGATGGGTGTGCAGCATTTCTGGCGTCGGGTTCCTGACCTGGGCAGGGAGGCATGTACACCGATCCTGGGCTCAGGATCGGCCCTACGATTGGCGAGGTGGACCCAGACATCCGACGATGTGTGTGTGTGTGTGGTGATTCAGTGGCCGCCAATTCGTACCACACTGTTGCTCGCGCTTCACGTTACCTCGAGTTGAGTTGTCTCCTCGGTTTTCTGGCCGGTGCACGCTTCGCTTGGATTTACAGGTTTTCCCTTCACACCACGCATCGCTGCTTTTGTTAGTGTGCACGTCTGTGCACTGTGCCTTCGACAACGCTCGATCGCAATTGGCACTTCCATCTGCCGTCCGCGCCTGAAGATCCTCCGCGCCGCCAGCTTAAAACGTGTGTGTGTGTGTTTGTGTGTTTGTATATGTGATGTGTGGGTATTCTGTCCGCGCGCCCCAGAGATCTCGACCAATTGCCCCAGGGCAAGTTTAGCCACAGACCCATTGTAGGTGGCCCCGTGGCCAGAGAGATTGGCCCTGGAGGCCGACATTGAGGACAAACGTCCGGAAGTCTGAGATAATCTTGGGAAGTCTGGCGGTTGTTGACGTCCCCTCGAACCATCCGCCCAACATCTGGCCAGGCTAGGATGACGACTACGAGCGACTAGCATGGGAGTAACTATATTCAAACAATAACTAGCTTTCTGCCGCTAGAAAACACGAGAGGACAATGAAATCATCTCAATGACGACGACGCCCACGAGCGGATCCAGAACCCGTGTTATTCATCGTCGCCCCACGGAGCTGCTGCGTGACGGCCCCCTCTGGACATTTCTGAATCGCCGCGCTACACTTATGGGAGGTGGCGACGAAGGCCCCGAGAAGGCGAAAGCGAGAGGAACGGCATCGGCATCGGCGCTTCACCTCCCCAGGGCCTGACGACATCCGCTGCAAATCGGCCCCTGGACCCTTCCAGGATTTCCGAGGAGACCACCACGACCTCCAGAGAACCCCTCACGAGGCCAAGCGGGCCCCAGGAGCTCCGAAATGGAGCAAAAAGCCGAGGGCACCTTGGGCCAGGAGCACCTCTGGCGACCCCCGAGATTTCTGGGTCGCCCAACTTCACGCTGTCGCGCCCCGCCGTGCGCGGCACGCGGCTGTCTTCGCTCTCTCTCGCCCCCGCCCTAGAGACAGGGCACCCCTCCAACTCGGAGGCTCCATGAGGCAACGGGAGCAGGCAGGAGGCTCCAGGGCGATGCAAGAGGCCAGAGGAAGACGCAGGACGATGATGAGGATGAGGACGAGGACGAGGAGGATGAGGAGGAGGACGAGGATGAGGATGAGGATGAGGATGATGATGATGATGAGGAGGAGGAGGAGGAGGAGGAGGAGGACGAGGAGGAGGAGTACGAGGAGGAGGAGGAACGCAGGAGCGTCTTTGGGGCGTCTTTTGGGGTGAGGGGGGCGCGCTTCGCGCCCCCCCGCCCTTCCTCTGTCTCGCTCTCGCCCGCTGCTGGCGCGGCTCAGTTCGGTCCTGCGGCGAGCCACTTGCAGGCGCTGGGCCCCTCCCCACGCGAGAGCGCGCGCGCGCGCCACGCGCACAGCACACGGCACGCACTCGCGAGCACAGCCACGCGCACAGCACACGGCACGCACGCGCGCGCACAGGCACACACACACACACACGCACGCACGCACGCACGCACGCACGCACGCACGCACGCACGCACGCACGCACGCACGCACGCACGCACGCACACACACACACACACACACACACACACACACACACACACACACACACACACACACACACACACACACACACACACACACACACACACACACACACACACACACACACACACACACACACACACACACACACACACACAACGTGCGTGCCTAGCCTGGCGCCCTGCTCCGGCCTGCCTCACCAGCGTGGGCCGTGAGGGCCTCGATCCACCGCTGCACGAGGTCTGCCGTGCTGAGGCCTCCGCGCACGGCCGCAGCGAGGCCGTTGCGGGCGGGCGCCCGCTCTGTGACGTTGAAGGCGCCGAGGGCGATGCCCGTGCGCGCCTCGACTTCCTCGCGGATGAGCTCCATCGCGAGGTCCGCGGCGTCCTTCAGGGCGAGTGCCTTCTGCGCGCCCGCCGCTGCCAGGTCCTTCTGCAGCCCAGCCGTCAGCTCCTCCACAGCATGGATCTCCGCGCCGTGGGCCTGGGCAGCCGCGGCCCTGTCCCGCCGCCCACTACAGGGGGGTCCTGGCCCCGCACGCCTGCAACACTCTTGGCCCAGAGGGTGCCGTCTGCCTTTGCCGTGCGGGCAACCTCCGCCTCCTGGCTGTCGTCGTAACTCGCCTTGTTGCCGTTCTGCAGTGTCTGGGCTTCCGTCTCAGCGTCAGCCCTCGCGTCTGCGTCACCGATCGCGCGCTGTTCCCGGGGTGTCTTCGTTCGGTCCTGCTTCTAGAGACAGCTTTCGTCATCTGCTTCCATGGCGGCCTGGGAGTCCTCGTGGTCCGTCCCGTTGCCCTCGCTCGCGCGCAGCCTCTGCGCGCGCCCCTTGGGGGTTGTCTGTGTGGCCCCCCGCCGCACCTGGACCTCAGCGAGACGCCGTTGCTCACCTTCTTCCCGTTGACGTGCAAGTGACTGCTCTGGTAGCCCTTGCGTTCTTCTGCTTCCTGCTCTCGCCGTCGGGCCCTCGCAGTTTCTGCTCCTCCGCGGAGTGGACAGTCTTGCCGTGGTTGTTGCTCACCTCCGTGCTGTCGAAATGCAAGTGCCTGCCCTGGTCGCCCTTGAATTTCAGGCTCTCCCCGTCGGGCCCCAGCGGCTCCTGCTCCTCTGTGGCGGCGCAGGCGCTCTTGCCGTCGCCGTTGCTCACCTCCTCCTCGTCGATGCTCAGGTGCCTGCCCTGTTCGCCCTTGCAGTGCTTCTGCTTCGTGCGCTCCCTGTCGGCCCCCGTAGCTCCTGCCCCTCCGCGGCGTAGGCGGTCATAACGTAGCCGTTGCACACCTCCTTGCCGTAGAAGTGCAGGTGCCTGCCCTGGTCGCCCTGGCAGCTCTCCTGCATCTTGCTCATGTCGTCAGGCCCCAGCAGCTCCTCCTGCTCTGCAGCGCAGTCGCCCATGCCGTCGTCGTAGGCAGAGTAGCAGGAGCCGAAAAAAACAGGCTGTCGTCGGCCTCCTGCGCGGTGGACGCCTTCACCGCCTCTGCCGTCGCCAGCAGCTGCGCCTGGTAGGCCTCCTCTAGCGCGGCGTCGTTCAGGGCCTGCAGCTCTCTCAGCTTCCCCTTTTGCTTCTGTGCTGCCCGCCGCCTGGTCTGCGCGGGAGGCGTCGCGGGCGTAGTCGCCGCCATTGATACCTCCGCCCGCGCCCGCCTGGCCAGCAAACCGCGCCCGTGCCTCTGCAGCTCCACGGCGGCTGTCTCCCTTCTGTTTTGCTCGGCTGCCGCAGCCCGCCGCTGGGCCCAGTCGTGCGCTCCCTGCGCCGCAACTTCCTGGGCCAACTCCCGGCGAGCTGCGGGGCGAGCTCCGCTCCCAGGGCGGCGTCCCGCCCGCTGCCATTCGCCGCGGGCGGCGTCGCTGGCCGCGCGGGCGCGGCGGTCCGTGGACGGCCTCGCGGACTCTGGTGGCGGGCGGGGAGGGCGCCTCCCGGGCGGAGCGGGCCGCCGATCCCGTCCAGCGGCTCAGTAGCCAGCCGCGCTGGCTCCTCGGCGAGCGCTCCTGCGGTCTGCCCGTGCCCGTCGGCCTGCTCGTCGCTGCCTGGGCCTGGGCAGTCGGGGGGCCGCCGCGGCGATCCCGACTGCATCATCTAGACTGGCCCCTGAGGCGCGTCCAAGCTGGCGCGCTTGCCCACGAAGGGGTGCTCTGGTCGCGCACGCGCCAGCGCTGCGGTGTCGAACGCCACCGCCGCAGAGCAGGCGTACTCGGCGTAGCGCTGTCCGCCGCTGCGTCGGCTGGGCCGTCGGGGGGCCGCCACGGCGGTCCCGACTGCACCCTCTGGCCTGGAGGAAATGGCCGCTCGCCATGCTCAGGGGGGCCGCTGGCCCCTGAGGCTCCTCCTCCGTCCTTCGGCGGGTGGTCGCCGGGAGGGGCGCCGTCGTCTCCCTCAGCGTCTCTCTCAGCGCCCGCCAGCTGCGCATGACTTGCGTCGCGTCCGCTGTCGTCGGTCGCCTCCGCACCCACGCCTCCCTGTGCAGCGCTGAGCTGCCCAGTTGCGCGTGGCCACCAGGCCTCGGCAGCGGACCTCAGCCCCTCGCTCGCGTCAGGCGGCTTGCCCCGAAGCAGGTCGAGGATTTCCTGACCGAGCCGCGCACCATCGGCAGCGCTAAGCAGAACCTTGGCCACCGAGGCGCCCTCCGACCAGCAGTGCAGCACGAAGCCGAGCAGCGGCGCCGCCAAGCCACCGCTGCGACTCGGCCAGCACGCGCAGCCACACCCCATGCACCCATGCACCACCTGCCGTCGTCGGGCAGCGACATCATGTGGCTGTAGATCAACTCATCCTGCGATGCTTCTGCAGCCTCCCCTGAGGCCCCCCTCAACCACGAGACGTGGTCGCGGGCAGCGCTGCCGCTGCGCCGACCCACGCCGGTACGTGATCGCAGGCCAGCCCGAGTTGCGCGCCCCGCGCGCGCGCTTTCTCGAGCCGAAATGCTTGAGCCAAAATGGCTTGAGCCAAAATGGCTACGGAGGAGGAGGAGAAGGAGGAGGAGGAGGAGCCGCGGCGCGCGAAGCGCGATCATCGTCGCGCGCCTGAATCAGGTGACCCAGCTCTTCTGCCGCGCCACGGCCGCGGCCCGCGGCGACGCGAGCCCCCTGGGGACGCCCAAACCCTACGAGCCCACGGCGCCGACCGCCGCGCGGCGGTGCCCAACGCGTGAGCGCGCGCCCGCGCCCGCGGCTCGGCCGCCGCCCCCGCGCGGCGCCCGCGCTGCGCCGCTGCAGCTCCTCTGTGGCAGCGCGCCCGCCGCGCCGCTGCGGCGCCCAGGGGCGGGCCGAGGATCTGGGTCGCCCAACTTCGCGCGTCGCGCCCCGCGGTGCGCGGCCATCTTCGCGCCCCCGCGCCGCCGCCCTGGAGAAGGGCGCCTCTCCAGCCTAGCCCGCGATGCGCGAAGCGCGACCATCCTCGCGCCCCTGGGGGTGACCCAGATGATCCTCAGAACATGTGCTAGCGCCAACGTGTGCTTGTCCACCTGGAGCCCTTCAACACGGTGGGGGCGTTCGTGAAGGAATGTGCCAAGTGATTAGGCTTCAGACCCTGGAGGGTTCCATTTCTGATGAGGGCGGCGGTGATATCCTTGGCCACTCCACGATGCGAGTTCCACCAGCTTCCAGACCCTGGGTTCCTGATCCAACGGTGCATTGTCCAATGCCCTCACCGGGCGACGCAGGCGGTGCAACGAGGGCCGACACATGCCGTCACTGTCTGCGTGCAATGGGTGGAGCTGAGCGGGTCAAAACACCTTGGGCTAACACACGTCCTGAGGGGGAAAATGAGAGCCCCCCCCCCCCAGCGCGCGGGAAGGGGAGAGCTTCGAGTGCCGGGGGAGGGGGGGGGGCCTTTCGCCCCCCCCCCCCCCCCTTTCGTCTGCTGGGGAAGGGGGGGCGGGGGGGTATTCCCGCCCCCCCCCCCCCCCACCCGCCCCCCCGCGTCGCGTTCGTTGGGCACCGCTTTGTCCCACACTGGGCCAACACACGTCCTGAGGACCATATCGAATGGGGCCGCACCGGCCCAGCGGCCCAGCCAGCCCCACCGGCCCAGCGGCGCCTCTGGGCCGTGGCAGAGCGACTGGGCGGCGACTCCGACGACGACGACGCCAACGACGGCGGAAAGACCTCGGACGGCGACGCCGACGACGTCCACGGCGTCCGCGAGACCTCAGAGCCCAGACCTCCGACGATATGACTTTTTCAACGCCTGCGCTTTCTATCCATTTCTCGACTACTCACAAGAGTGACCCTAGGCAAGAGTGACGCTTGGTGCGTGGCTGTAGGGGGCCGCGGGGAGGACAACTCCAAGCGCGCAAGCCAGACCTCGGGGGGCTCTTTGAGCCCGCACCAAGAATGACTCTGGCGAAGGGTCGCTCTCGCGCGAAGCCGAAGTTCGGCCTCTGGGGCCCCTCTACCGGACCCCGGGACCATCAAACATGGATATAGGACGCAAAAAACTACAGCCGGACCAAGGGCATAATAACATCCTACAAGAGCATGAGACCCTGCGCCGGCCAAAACACCCCAAACCATGAGATCACCAAGGGTGACCCCCCCCCAGGATGCACACGAACATACGACAAGCACGAAGAGCACTAGAGAGAGAGAGAGAAAGAGAGGCAAAGAGACACCCTATAGGGAAGCGAAACGAGCCTTGGGGCAACGACAAGTCAACGCGCACCACCACAATCTGGCCGCGAGCTGGCGCGACAGATAGAGGCCTCCTAGATGGGGTCGGAGTAGATGGGGTCGGAGGATCGCGCTGCATCGTCGACATCGGCGATGCATCGGCGACGCCATCGTGGAGAAAATCGGGCTCCACATCGAGCCGCATCGGCGATGCATCGGCGATGCGGCGCGATCCTCCGACCCCATCTACTCGGACCCCATCTAGGAGGCCTAGAACAGAGACACAGACAGGCGGCAGAAATCGGCGCGGCTTCCCCGCAGGGGGTCCCCGAACCCTGCCGGGAGAACCCGCCGCAGCCCGAAACCGTGGGATCGCGCGGCCAGTCTGCTGGCGGCACCCTCCCCGAGCCGGCCTCGACCTTTGCACCTCGGTCCGATCGTACACCGGGCACCCGGACCACCAAGGCACGCCTCTGGGGCGCGGAGCTACCCTCGGGGGAGGAGGAGGAGGAGGAGGAGGAGGAGGAGGAGGAGGAGGAGGAGGAGGAGGAGGAGGAGGAGGGGGGAGGAGAGGGGAGGAGGAGGAGGAGGAGGAGGAGGAGGAGGAGGAGGAGGAGGAGGAGGAGGAGGAGGAGGAGGAGGAGGGGAGGAGGAGGAGGAGGAGGAGGAGGAGGAGGTAGGAGGGGAGGAGGGAGGAGGAGGGGGGAGGAGAAGGAGGAGGAGGAGGAGGAGGAAGGAGGAGGAGGAGGAGGAGGAGGAGGAGGAGGAGGAGGAGGAGGAGAGGAGAGGAGGAGGAGGAGGAGGAGGAGGAGGAGGGAGGAGGAAGGAGGAGGAGGAGGGGAGGAGGAGGAGGAGGAGGAGGAGGAGGAGGAGGAGAGAGAGGAGGAGGAGAGGAGGAGGAGGAGGAGAGGAGGAGGGAGGTCTGGGGCCGCGGACGTTGCCATCGCTCGGGCGCCCGCTCCCCGTGCACTTGTTCTTGTTCGAGCTCGTGCGCTGTGGTGTCTTGCAAGGGGACTCCGACGAAGCCAGGACAAGGATGACAGGAAGAGGAGGAGGAGGAGGAGGAGGAAGAGGAGGAGGAGGAGGAGGAGGAAGAGGAGGAGGAGGAGGAGGAAAAGGAGGGGGACGAGGAGGAGGAGGAGGAAGAGGAGGACGAAGAGGAGGAAGAAGAAATGGATGACAAGGAGGAATCGGGTGAGAGCTAGCTCGAGAATCTCTGGGATCCGGCGGCTCTGGAGGATGTCTCGGGCGCCGCGGCCTTCTCAGAACGTTCCGGAACGCTCTGACAGCGTTCCGGAACGCTCTGGAACGGATTCATCCTCGGTCCAAAGGACCCAAGATGCTCCTCGATGGTCCTCGCCGAGAATGCAGCCGGACCTAAGACAGAAGAACATCCCTCAAGAATAGGAGACCCTCCGCAGGCTTAGCTAAAAAGCGTTCGAGGGTACCCTCCCCTAGGATACACAATAACATCCAACAAACACGAAGAACATCCGGGTACCCTCCCCGAACTGATCTCGATCTTATGCCTCGGTCCGACCGTAACTGCACACGTCTGAGCGGTGCCAGGCGATTGAGCAAAAACATATCGGAGGATGTCTGGGAGCGCTGCCAGGTCCTGCCCCCTATCCCCCATCCCCCAGGCCTCCAGCGTCCTGAAGACATCTTGGCAAAGCCTCTGTTTGCCGTTATCGGACTCCAGGGCCGTCCCACAAAAACCATGCGGCACAACAGAGCGGCCCCCAGGATGGTCATCGAGAGGCGCGGGATCCCAGCTATCCAAAGCATAAAGACATTGGAGGTCTCTCTCCTTTTTTTTTTTCTCTCTCTCTCTCTCTCTCTCTCCCTTTCCTTCTCTCTCTTTCCCTCTCCCCCTCTCTCTCTCTCCCTCTCCCTCCCTCTCCCCCGCTCCCTCCCTCTCTCTCTCTCTCTCTCTCCCCCGCTCCCTCCTTTTTTTATTCTCTCTCTCTCTCTCTCTCTCTTTTTTTCTCTCTCTCTCTCTCTCTCCCCCTCTTGTCCCCCCCCCCTCTCGGGGACGGTGGCGGTGCACAGCTGCCGTTTCCCAGGTCACATGACTGCGCACACCGCGCCCCGCGATGCGTGGCCGATCCCAGCGCCCCGCGCGCTGCCTCGCTGGTCTGGGCCGCGGCGCGCGAAGCGCGGTCATCTTCGTGCCCCCAGGGGTGGCTGCAGGTTTCCGAGTATCTCCTCCGCTCTCTCGGTCCGTCCCTCTCTCTCTCTTTTTTTTTTTCTCTCTCTCTCTCTCTCTCTCTCTCGCTCTCTCTCTCTCTCTCATGTTCTCTCTCTCTCTTTTCGTTGTTTTTTTGTTCTCTCTCTCTCTCTCTCCTTCGCTCCCTCTCTCTCTCTCTCTCTCTCTCTTTTTCCCAATTGGATCGCGCCGTGGTCCGCACGTCTGCACCCGACAAAAGCAGGAGGTCTGGCAGAAGCATTTTCTTCCCGCAAGACATTGGTAGCCGCACCTCGAGTCAGCAGACGTCGGCAGGGAAAAGGGGGGAGGAGGAAAAAGAGCAGGACGGGGAGCAGGTGGAGGAGGACAGGGGCAACGGGGAAAGGAGGCTGGGGAGCAGGAGGGACACGCTCGGAAGGATGTATTTTCGCAGGCACGTGGGAAAACATATTGCTTCGGGGGGGGGGCGAGGAGGAGGAGGAGGAGGAGGAGGAGGAGGAGGAGGAGGTGGATAAAGAGGAGGAGGAGGAGGGGGAGGAGGAGGAGGAGGAGGAGGAGAAAAAACGAACGTCACCTGGGGGCCAAGTCCGACTGATCTTCGGCTAGCCGAGCGACCCGCTAGCAAGGTGAGACCTGCTGCTGAGCGTGCCGCCGCTGAGGAAGCTGCGGGTGGGGGCGGGGCGCGCCTCCCGAGCTGCGTTTTCGTGATTTTGAGAGGTTGGGAGAGACGGCGGACGGGAAGTGGGGACTGAACGTGGCGGGCCAGCGCCGCCTGCGAGATCCGCGGGCAGCCTCGAGGCACGCCGAGCGGCCCAGACAGCTGCACACTGCCTGGCGTAGGGGATCGGCACCACCCCGTCCTTCGTCGTGTGGTACATACGCGTGGCGACTGACATCCGCGCCGACGCACTCGGGATCCCATTCTCGCCGAAGAACTCGGTGTCGATCGGCGGCAGGCCGATCCTAAACAGGAGCTCGCCGCTCAGCTGGCCTCGAGGAAGGGCCAGCTGGTGCCACAGGCGCTCGCATTCCATGTAGTGGCTGATCTGGTCGCTGCCCTGGTCCTCCGCGCAGCCGAAGTGGCAGCGCCGCTTGTCTTGGATGGCGCGCATCCTGATCGAGGTCGCCCACGCCCCCGCAAGCATCTTGAGCGCCGACCAGACCCTCGACGGAAGGAGCGTGGCCAAGTGCCCGCGTAGCCGCAGCAGCGGGCTCGTAGATCATGGGGAAGACGATCGAGTTGCAGGAGGTCGGGCTTGAAATTCTCGGTGAGTTCGTCAACCCCATGCTCTGGGACGCCTGTTCCGGAGCATGGGGCATCGGGACCTGGGCGCAGAGCTGGGAACCACGCCTGCAGCCTGCGCTCGATGGTGCCGGCCATGGTGTCCACGAAATTGTTATCGCGTGCAGCGCGTTCACGTATGCCTTCTGTTGCGTCAATGCTTCGCGGCTGCGACCTGCTTCCAGCAGAGCCCTGGTGCCAGCTCTGGCGGCGCGCTCGTGGCCGACGATCATGGCTGCGCGAGCTCGAGGACGAGGTCCAGCAGCGCGCGTCAGCCGCACGAAATGAGAGCCCTTGCCCATGGCGAAGAAGGTGGAGTCGGCGACGCCCTCGAAGCGCTGCACTATCGCGGTCTCGATCGCCCAGCACTCATAGCACCGCGTCCCCTCGCTCACCTGCTGGGCGGGCAGCTGCTCGCAGGCGGCGTCGCGGAGCTGCTGGGGGGGCCGAACGCCACGACGAGACGGTCGACGTCGCAGTCCTCCACATCGTGGCGGCCAGATAGGTCTCGATGCCGTTCGGGATCTCGATCTTGGCCCATTGGGCCACCGCGAAAATGTCAGATTTCGCGAAGCTGGACGGGGCGACGCGCAGCAGTTTGCGGATGGCCTGGCACTCCTTCTGCAAGATGCCCTCGCGCGGCTCGAAGAGCTGGCTGACGTAGCCGAGGCAGGCGACTGCGGCGACGTTGTAGCGCTTGACTGACTGTTGCAATGGGGGCGCGCGACATGGCGAGTTTCTCCACGCTGTCCCATCACTTCACAAATTGACCACGCCATGGGTCTGCGAATGCGGCGCCAGGGCCGACGAAGAAGCCGAGGTAGCGGGCCTTGTCGGCGATCTTGAAATCTTTCCACGGCTGGTGGGCGGCCGCCAAGATCTGGCGCACCTCGTCGATGATGTTCTGCGTCGGCAGGCTCCACGTCGGAACAACGATGCACTTCTTGGCCTGCAGGCGGAGGCCCGCCAGCGCCTCGACGGCCAGCACGCGCGGTGCGAGCTTCTCAATGTCGCGGCGCCTGGCGAGAATGATGCCCAGGTCATCGGCGCGAGCGCTGAGTGGCCCACGCGCGATGAGGCGCAGCTCGCGACCGACGGCAACGAGGATCGGGTCGAAGACGAATGCCAAAATAGCGCCGCTGAGGGGGCAGCCCTGCGCGACACCAGAGGCTGCGACTAGCAGCGGGCGACGTTCCCATCCGAACTCCAGGAAGGAGACTGGCCAGAAGTAGAACGCTCGCAGCAGCTTCAGCGTGGTGCCGTGAATGCCTCAGCGCCTGAGCACGTTCCACATCCACTTGTGGCCCATGCTGGGGAACGCGGCTGCGATGTCCATGCCTATGAAAACTGGCACATCGTCAGATGCCGTGAGCAAGAGGCTGTGCCGGCGAGCCTCAGCGTCGACAATCACTACGTTGTTCAGGACATGGCAGCTGTTGACGAAGCCCTGCTGCTCGTGGGCTATCTTGGCTGCAAGTTGATCGAGCTGACGGTCGGCCGCTGATGCCAGCAGCTCCACGTCGGCATTGATAGCGGACGGAGGCAATCAGGAGCGCGAGCGCACTCCGCGTTGCCACGGGTCTCGTCGCCCTTGGGGGGCATGGCCATGCGGGAGAAATTGAGGCCGTACGGGATGTTATCGTTGTAGGCGATGCTGGCGCCGACGTCAGCGAGGACGTCGAAGCTGTGCGGCGCGCGTAATCACGCACGGTCAGGAAGCCCATCAGGTCCAGGTGCGCAGTCGCCTGCAAGGCGCGCTGCCCTTTCGAGCGCCTCGGCCCCGGGCGGGTCGAGGTCCACCGGCGACTGCTGAGGGAAGACGGAGTCCAGGTGCTCGGTCAGCTGGCTGGTGTCCACGCGCTTCTCGGCGAACGCAGGCCCCGCTGCTGCATGATGATGGCCCGGCGCATCGCAGCGGGGTCGGTGACGACGTTGCGCTGGGGGCCGGTCGCGATTTTAATCCCCGCGAGAACCATGCGTTTGGAGAAGGGCTTCCAGAGTTCACCAAGCTTCCCTTCACGCTGGGCGCGCTGACGCCACTTTTGGCCAAGGGGGCCGTTGTTGGCAGCGCGTGCGGCTCGCGCGAACGTGCCGAGGCTCTCCTTCCTTTCTTCGCTGAGGCTGGCGTGCGCCGAGTCTGTGGGCGAGGTGAAGTCGGTCGTGTTGCTGATGCTGACCTTGCCGTCGGCAACGCTGAGGTGGTGCTTGCCCACGTCGGCGTCATCCACCAGCAGCGTAGCGAGGGATATCACCTGGAAGCAGACCGCTCTGGCAATGCTGCGGAGCGTCATGGCTCTCGTTTCTCTTGCAATCCCGACGGGCTGAGATGCCAACTCAGCAGCAATAACCTTGGTCAGCGCGTGGCGGGTCTTGGCAGCGGCTGCGGGAACAGCCGCTTTCAGCGTCCTCCACTTGGTGATTGCGTTCAGCTGCGTCAAGTCCAGGGAGTCGAGGGTTTGCTGGGAGCGGTGCCGGCAGTGCTCGGAGTCGAAGAGAAACGCTGGAATACGCCTTTCGCGCTTGGGCTTCGGCTTTCTCTGGCGGGCGCGGAGATGCATGATCTTGCGGTCGCTGATGGGGCCTGACTTGTTCTCGAGCGGCGCGTCGTCAGCGACGTGCAGAACTTCCATCAGCGGCATCAAGTGGATGGGCACATTGATGAAGCAGTGGTCGATCGTGGACTCGCTCATGATATCCTCGGACCTGCGCGCGGTCGACGTCGCGGCGGTCTCTATGATGTCGCGAAACAAGTTGCGCCAGAAGATATGCTGGCACTGGTGGCGCTGCGCCGCCGTCGCGTCCGAGTCCACGGGCGAGTTGATGGACTTTGGCGGGAACTTAGATGTTGAAGTCGCCCGCGCTCGTGGACAGCCGCTGCTGGGGCAGTGCATCTGCGCGTTCACGTCAGGCCCGCCAAGCAGCCTGCCGGCGTGGACGATCAGATTGCGATAGCCCATGATTGTGGATGTTGAGCACGGCGACGTCAGACTGGAGGCCGGCATCCGCGACGCGCAGCCAGGCGGCGCGGCCAGGGATGACGACCTCGAACATATGCTGAGGCCGCTGTGCTGGCGGTAGCTGGAGCTCGCGCTTGTCGAACGGGACCAAAAAGCCAACGCCGCCCGCGTTGACGGGAATGTTGTCCACGTGGGCGGCCGAGTGGCAGGGCTTGTACGAGTACTGCGTCGAGCTGGCGAGGAGCTGCATATCGTCGAGGGTGCCATGGGTTTCTTGCGCTGCAAGTAGCGCACGCTGGCGAAGGTAAGGTGGCAGGCGCCGACGTTTGTCATCACGCCGTTGGTTAGAACGTCCAAGTAGAGCTGGACAATTCCAGAAGGCAATGCACAGCCCTTCCTGCGAGGGTTCCAGGAGCCACGGGCTCCAGCGATGGCTACAGCCACCGCTCTGCTGCGAAGGCGTCCGCGAAGTTGGCGGCAAAATCGGCTTTGATGGCCTGCTGAAGGGCCTCGTCGAAGCCGCGGTTGGCGCCAGTTGCGGACCACTGCAGCTTGGTGGGGGGCATCAGGAGCATCGCCAACGTGCATGCGAACTAGAGCTTACCCACTGTTTGCACGTAGCCGAGGGTCCGCTGAGCTTGGAGATCCAGCGGTGGCGTCTTGTTCTGCATGGTCTTGACGAGGCGCGTTGCTTGGACTTCTTGTCTGACCATATTTGGGCTATTGTCTGCCGATACGTGGAGAGGAACAGATCCGCCAGAACCAGTAGCCACAGAGAAAGTCCGCCAGTCTTTTCCAAGGCGTAGCGCAGAATGGAAACGCTGCGCACGAAGTTCCGCCACCGGAGTGCCTCCACTGAGCTGGAAAGAATGGCGCCTGGCAGGGCCGGCCGTGTTGTAGATGACGTGGCCTGACTCGATGTTGGCGGCGCCGAACCAGGTCTGAAGCACTTGCTCCAGCTCGGGCTGGTTGAAGTCCTGCGGGCTGCTGCACCAGAAGGCTGTCGGGTCAGGGTCTCAGTTCCATGTCCCCAGGGCGTCGGGGTTGAGGGCGGGAGCTCGGGCTTCAGCTTGAGACACAAGGTTCTCTAGCGTGGCGACTGATGCATTGAGCTCAATGTTCGCGGACTCCAGGAAGGCCGTGCGTGCGGTGACGGCTGTGATGGGCCGCTCGGTGGCCTCGTGGCGTTTGCTGAGGTCCGACGTGACGGAAGTGACTGTCTCGAGGAATTCTGCGCTTGCCGCTGCCGTGACTGCCTTGGCCGTGGCCTTGAACTTCGCCGCTGCTTCCTGCACTTGCTTGTCCAACGACTCCTCGGGGGGGTTGCGGATGTGTGCTGGCAGGTCTTGGACAGGTAGCCTGGCAGCGCTGGCATCCCATGGATCTGATCTCCCTCCTCGCTTGTCACTGGCCGTGGGCTCCGTTCCTGCAGCGTCACCAACCGATCTCATGAATAATGATATGTAGGCCAACTGCAGGCGAATACAATGGCAAAAAATATGAATCTCAACCTCGCGGGCGCAAGAAAGGCGTGACAGCAGGTCCGATGTTGTCCCTGGACCAAGGGTCTCCGTGCTCTGCCACGGGGCGAAACCAGTGCCCTCCGCTCATCTCCCCCCCGCACTGCCCGCTCCTGCCGCGCAGCCGCCGCGCCGCACTTCACACCTGAGACGCTCACTTCCCCTTTTGCCTGTCCCTCGAGGGAGTGACGGCCTCGCTCCAGGAGGGGCATGCCGAGGTGAGCCTCAGCTCCCCCCCAGGGGGGCTGGGGCTCACGCTCGGGGGCCCCTTCCGCAGGCGCACGCCGCCACCACAGACGACCTCCCCTTCCCTCGCTCCCAGCCTCCGAGTGCATCTCTCTCTCATTACCTCTTGGCTTCTGTGTACCCCTCCCCCTGGCGTTGGCCAGGAGGGGGGGGGGGGTCGAGGGCTCCAGCAGCATAGAAGCAGGTCCGTCTGCAGGTCCAAGGTCCAAGGTGCCAGGAGGAGCAGGAAGAGGAGGAGGAGGAGGAGGAGGCAGAGGAGGAGGAGGAGGAGGAGGAGAGATGACCGTCTGACAGACCCTGAAGCCACCAGAAGTTTCGTCTTACCTCCACTTCCCGATACTTTCCTCAGCATCGACGTTTGTTTGTGTCTGTGTTTACCTTTCCCTCCTGAAGACTCCCGATCACTTTCCCAAAACCAATATCTCGTCCCCGACCGTCTCCGACGCTCCTGTGGCCCGAGAACGACCCCCAGATGCCGAGAACGGCGAAAAAACAGCTTGGATGTTTCAAGACGTTGGGGGTCTGGGGAAATGGGGAAGCAAGAGGCGGAGTTGCAAGACAGGGGGGCAGACGTCGATGCCAAAAGCTCACGGAGTGGAAAATCAAAGAGCACGCATCAGGCCGGCGCCGACGAACGCGCGCCGCGTGCGCGCGTACAGAAACTCCTCCTGACAAGCTCCACCACCTGCTTCCCTTCCTTACTCCTCGACCCTCCTCCCTCCCCTCTGATAATGATGATGATGATGCTGATGATGATGCTTATGATGGTGATAATGATGATGCTGCTGATGCTGATGATGATGATGGTGATGGTGGTGATGATGGTCGTGATGATGATGCTGATGCTGATGCTAATGTTGATGACGCTGCTGATGATGATTATGGTGATGATTGTGCTGATGCTGCTGACGATACTGATGGTGATGCTGATGCTAATTATTATGATAATGATGATGATGCGGATGATGATGATGGTGAAAATGGTGATGCTGATGTTAATGATGCTGATGATGATGCTGATGGGGATGAAGATGATGGGGATGATGATGCTGATGATGATGCTGATGATGATGGGGATGATGATGGCGATGGTGACGATGATGGTGATCGTGATGATGATGGTGATGATACTGATGATGGTGATGATGCTGCTGCTGATGCTGATACTCATGGTGATGAAGATGATGATGATGATGATGATGATGGTGGTGGTGATGCTGATGATGATGATGGTGATGATGATGATGATGATGGTGATGATGATGATGATAATGATGATGATGATGATGATGATGATGATGATGATGATGATGTTCTCTGGTGCTATGCTGCTGCGCGTGTGCTCCCCCACTCCTCGACCCTCCTCCCTCCCGCTCCTGCGTCACCCTCCGTCTCTCCTCTTTCTGAGCAGCTCCACCTCGCCTCAACTCCCTGGCGTGTCGGTGGCACGGCCTGGGCGCCTCGCTTCATGCCTCCTCACCATCTGCGGAGTTGAAGCTTGAAGTGTCCAACTGTACGCGGGTGGAGGGCGGCTCGTTTGCAAATGAGAGCTCTCGCCTTCGCGCCGCGCGCATTCCTCTTGAGACTGCCCAGCAGCTGCACACATGGAAGATTGCGTGTTTACAGGATGCGGTTCCCGCGTTAGCGCCGCGCGCACTCGCTTAACACTGTCCAACTTCGCACGGACAGACGATTCGCCAATATCTGGATCCCGTTTTAGCGCCGCGCGCATTCGTCGCACATTTTCCCGACTGTGCATGGCCGTGGGGCAATGAATGCTCAGAATGATGCTCTCACCACATTGGTCTTACACTATCCAACAATGCACGGATGGAGGCCGTCACGTTTTCAACATGAGGCTCTCGCCCTAGCGCGGCACAAATTGGCCTCAACATCCAATCAGTACGCGGATAGAGGGCGGCTCATCTTCAAAACGACGCTCTCGCATGAGCGCCGCGCACACTTGCCGTAGAACTTTCCACGAGCACACGGATTGGAGGGTGGCTGGTCTTCACCATGAGGCTCTCGCTCAAGGCTCCCTCACATGCTATGGTCAGGCGTGTCAAAGCGCGCAACCGTTGCGCAGATGGGCGAAGATCCCCTTTCAAAGCGGAGCTCTCACTCTATCTCTTCCTCTTTTTATTCTTCTCTCCCTACATATATATATATATACCGACATGTATAATACCACCCTCTATATTTATAGGTATATCAAGATACCCTGTTCACCCCAGTGGCCGCAACAAAAGAACCGTGCAGCTGCGCCATCGATGCAGGCCGTTTTCTTCAAAAAGGCACTCTCGCTTGACATTTCCTTGAGACCTGTGATCATACACGTGTGCACTTGCTCTGACCCGACGGCAACACAGAGGGCATACCGTTTTCCAAACGAGACTCTCGACCGAACTGCGGGCCCGTAGGGCGCTCGTCTTTCAGGGGCGCGCCTCCCAGGGGTGAAGGGGCATGCTTGTGGGGAGGCACGGGGAGGGGACTTGGACGGGACTGTGTGGTACAGCATCGTTGGAACATCCTGGGTTTACTTTTGCCTCCCCCTCACCCTCCTCCGCCCCCCCACCCCCCCCTCAAGAACTCGCCCGCACACCTACCCTGGAGCGCACTCTGACCAGGATCCCGAGGCGAGTCCAGCCGTGGCGACCAGGGCATCCACGGAGGCCCCTCCTCTCTCTTCCGCTGCTCTTCCTCCTCCTCCTCCTTCTTCTCCTCCTCCTCCATTCCTTCCCTTATAAAGAACTCCTCCCTGTCACACCCCGAGGCCACTCGGAAGGGCGGGCCAGGCGTTTCGCCTGGTACCTCCCGACCATCTATGATTCTGCAGCTTCTAAGAATTGACAGCAGCTTCGAGGATGGAGGTCGGGCCGCTTCCAAAATTTGGCGCTCGTCTTAGCGCCGCGCACATTCGCATCACAAAAGTGCAAGAGCTTCACGGATTGAGAGCGGCTCCTTTTTCAAACTGTGGTTTTCGCTTTAGCACCACGCACCTTCGTATTAAGAAATTGCATGAGTTTCACGGATCCCCATGGTTAACGTACCAGAGACTGCGTTTGGGAACGATTCAGGACTGTCAGGGGGCAAACGTTATCTTGACACGCGGTGTTGATGTCCCAAACGTGGTGTCCTGGCATGGTCCGGAATGGTCAAAACGCAACCGTCAAGTTGATTCCTGGCCTTGAAGTTCCGAGAATGGTGTTTTGGCATGATTCAGGATATTCCAGTTGTTATCTCCCGGCAGGGCGTTTGCCTAGTGGAAATGAGCCCTGGTCTTGGGGGCAGGATTTTTCCAACATCGTTGGTCACCCCCTCCTCCTCCTCCTCCTCCTCCTCCTCCTCCTCCTCCTCCTCCTCCTCCTCCTCCTCCTCCTCCTCCTCCTCCTCCCTACCCTCCTCCTTACCCTCCTCCATCATGTCGGTCGGACAGGCCAGGCGTCTCGCCTGAGACTTCCTCACCGTGTGCGATCCTTACGCGTAGAATGTGCAACAGGTTGGCAGATGGAGACGGTCCGTTTTCATATTGTGGCTCTCGCTTGAGCGCCGCGCACATTCGTCCCAGCAGCCTGTAAGAGCTTCACGAATGGAGGGCATGCGGTTTTCCACATGTAGTTCCTGTCGTAGCACCGCGCGCAGTCGTCTCAACACCTGCAAGAGCTTCACGGGTGGAGACTGACGTCTTTTTAACATGTGGCTCTCGCCTTAGCGCAGCGCACAAACTTAAGAATTCACAGCGGTTTCAATTGGTCTTTTGGCTGACGTCACAGAAAGGGTGGTTTGCCGCAGCCGTTTTGCCACGATGTGAGACTGCCATGGTGCAACAGTCAAGTTGGTTCGCGGTGTTGAAGTCCCAACGATGGTGTTCTGTCACGGTTCAGAACCGTCAGGGCGCAACAGCAACGTTGCTTCGCGGCGTTGAAATCCCAGGACTGGTGTTTTGGCGCGGTTCGGGATTTGTTGGCGGTTGTCTTCCAACGGGGCATTTACCTCTGTGAAGGTCTGTCCTTGCAGGGATCTGTGAAGAAAGAACTTGGAGGAAAGGTTTATTGCAATTCGTTGATAAAGCTTGGGTTTGCGCTGGTCCTCCTCGTTCCACTTCCTCCTCCTCCTCATCATCATCATCATTATCATCCTCCTCCTCGCTACTTCTCATCTCCCCTCCTCCTCCTCCTCATTCCTCCTCCTCCTCTCTCTTTTCATCCTCCTCCTTCTCCTCCTCATCCTCCTCATCCTTCTCCTCCTCCTCCTCCTCCTCCTCCTCCTTTTCTTCCTCCTCCTCCTCATCCTCCTCCTCTTCTCTCCGCCTTCTCCTCCTCATCCTCCTTCTCCTTCCTCCTCCATCCTCCTCCTCATCTTTCATTACCCTCCTCCTCCTCCTCCTCCTCCTCCTCCTCCTACTCCTCCTCCTTTATTCCCTGAAATTGCCTGGAAGATTTCCCGCCCCCTTCCGCATGTTTTTAGGCGCAGGATTTCAGACGTTGGCTTTCGCGTATGTGTTGCAATCCTACTGTTCTGGGTGTTGCAAAATGGTGCTCACGCTGCAGCGTGTGCCTCATTTTCGGATCGGCGCATTGCTCCCGTCGTTGGGGATGGCGCTCTCGCCCCACCGCGGGCCACTTTTCTGGATTCTGGATCCGAGCCTTGCTTCATTTTGGTCCCCCCCTCATTTCCCCTCATCCGCATTCCCATGGTCCTTTGTCGTGTCCCGCTCCGTCCACTCCAGTTCCTGCTGCTGCTGTTCGTTTCGCCCCAGCGCGGGTCACTTTTCTGAATCCGAGTCTTTCTTCATCGTTGTTGCCCCCTTCATTTCCCCTTCCTCTGCCTTCCCCTGGTCCTCCTTTTCCTCCCGATCCTTCCGCTTCAGTTCCTGCTGCTGGTGTTCGTCCACATCCATTTCCTCCCACTCATCCTCCTGCTCACCTGCCACCTCCTCCTCGTCCTATGCACGCAACTCCCCCTTTTGCCAATTGCGCACAACACGAAGTGGCCTTTCCATGGGAGTCGCTTGTCGGCTATGGCACGCGTCCACGGACAGAGAAAAATCAGCGCCATGGTAAGGGATGGGAGGGATGCAGATAAGGCGAGAGCGCACCTAGCTTGTCCTCCTCCTCTCTCTTCGTCCTCCTCCTCCTCCTCCTCCTCGTCCTCCTCCTCCTCCTCCTCCTCCTCTGTCCTCCTCTGTCCTCCTCTGTCCTCCTCTGTCCTCCTCTGTCCTCCTCTGTCCATCTCCTCCTCCTCCTCCTCCTCCTTCTCCTCCCCCTCCTGCTCCGCATTTCCAGGCAATGTTCTTCTCGAGGGCTCCGACGTCGTGGTCGAGGTGACTCTCGGGGAGGGTGCCCAGCAGCTGATGTTGCTCGTGGTCTTCTTCATCTGGGTGGAGGGGGTAGCTGCGAGTTATTCTTCATTCAAGGGGCTTCGAGTGGCACCAGTCACTGGTATGTGGTTCGGAATATTCCTGGTGATCTACACGTGCTTCGGGATGGACTCGTCGGAGGTCTTCTTCGTGTGGAATGTCGCTTCGGTGGAATTGGAGTACGCCGTGTGGCTCGGTCGCCTATGGGTGGCAGCGGGATGCTGCTGAACATCTGCGTCGGCTACTTCTTCTGCGTGGTGTGGGGCTCCAAGGGGGTGGTCGGATCGTTCATCGGGCAGTGTTTGCTTCTAAAGTTTCTCGGCAAGAGCGGGATGCTCGCGAAATCCTTCGCGCCTTGAGGCTGGGGGTGCGTCGGGGAGGGCGGACTCTCCCGGTGGCCTCATCTGGGCTCGGCCTCCCCTGCGTGCGGGGGGTGGAACCGGCCCTCTGGTTGCAGCCCCCTCCTCCTCCTCCTCCTCCTCCTCCTCCTCCTCCTCCTCCTCCGCCTGCTCCTCCTCCTTTTTCTTAGCCAGGCCGCCGAGCGCACACCCGCTCGTGGCGTCAGTCCTCCTCCTCCTCCTCCTCCTCCTCCTCCTCTTCCTCCGCCTGCTCCTCCTCCTCCTCCTCCTCCTCCGCCTCCTCCTCCTCCTCCTCCTTTTCCTCCTCCTCTTCCTCGATTGATTTTTCTTATCAGCAGCCCCTTCCTGTCGCACCGTGACGTGTTAGGGAGGGCGGTCCGGTCGCTTCGCCAAGGACTTCTTCACACTTTATGACCCTCAAGCATAGCACTTGCAACAGCTTCACAGACGGAGGGCGGACAATTTTCACAATATGGCTCTCGCCTTAGCGCCGCGCACATTCGTCTGAAACGTTTTCAAGAGCTTCACGACTAGAGGGCGGCTTCTTTTGAAAATGTAGTCCCCGCCTTAGCGCCGCGCACATTCATCTTAAACGTCTGCAAGAGCTTCACGGATGGATGGAAGGCGGTACCTTTTCAACATGCTCGCCTTAGCGCCGCGCACGTTCGTCGTAAGAGTTCGTAACAGGCTCAAGGATTATCATGGCTAAAGTCCCGGAAATGGTTTTCGGAAACGGTGTTCCAAAACGGTGTAGGACTGTCAGGGCGCAACAGTCAATGTGATTCGTGATGTTGAAGTCCCAGGAGTGGTGTTCTGGCACGATTCAGGATCGTCAAGACTCAACAGGAAAGTTTGATGTTGAAGTCCCAGAAGTGATGTTCTGGCACGGCTTAAAATTGTCAAACGAATGTCTTCCAACGGGGCACTCTTCTCAGCGGGAAAAATCCTGTACGGGCCTACGCAGAAGGAGCTTGGATGGAGGGTGGATTGCAACATCGTTGGTGAGTCTTGAGTTTGCGCTGTTTCTCCTCCCTCCTCCTCCTCCTGATCCTCCTCCTCCTCCTGCTCCTCCACCCTCCTCCTCCTCCCTCCTCCTCCTCCTCCTCCTCCTCCTCCTCCTCCTCCTCCTCCTCCTCCTCCTGATCCCCTTCCTCCCTTCCCTAGCTCTCCTCCTTCTCCTCCTCCTCCTCGTCCTCGTCCTTCTCCTCTTCTTCCTCCCCCCCTCACCCTCACCCTCACCCTTCCTCTCTACTGGCGGCGCTCACACGCTCTCGCCGGCGCCCTCGTCCGCCTTCCTTCGCCTCCTGATCTCGCCGCCCTGGGACTCGCGGGCCTCCTCCTTCAGTGAGCGGCTTGTGCCCAGCACCTCGGCCCAGAGGGATGATGGCCTCCCCATCCTCCGCCTCATCCTCTTCCTCATGCTGCTGCTGCTGCTCCTCTTCCTCCTCCTCCTCCTCCTGCTCCTCCTCCTCCTCCTGCTGCTACTGCTCCTCCTCCTCCTCCTCCTCCTCCTTCCCCCCCTCGTCCTCGTCCTCGTCCTCGTCGTCGTCCTCCTCCTCCTCCTCCTCCTCCTCCTCCTCCGCCTTCTCCTGCTCCTCCTCCGCCTCCTCCTCGCCCATAGCAGATCGTACTCGTCGTCGTTCTGCTATGGGCCATGCATGAGGCCCGGTCGTCGCCCTGGCCGAACGCGGTTCCGGACACGGTGGCAAGGGATGGTCTCCAGAGAGAGGAGTTCTGAGAGGACTCTGGCGGAGGGGGAAACAAAATTGGAGGGAGGGAGGAAGGGGATCGTCTTTATGTTGTCCACCTGCATTTCCTCCTGGCGTCCCTCCCTCCCTCCCTCCCTCGCTGCCTTTTCTTCCATCTCCTGCCCCTGCCCCTGCTCCGACTCCACCTCCACCTCCACCTGCTCCTGCCCCCTCCTCCTCCTCCTCCTCCTCCTCCTCCTCCTCCTCCTCCTCCTCCTCCTCCTCCTCCTCCTCCTCCTCCTCCTAATCCTTCTTATCCTCCTCCTCCTCCCCTCCGCCTCCTCCTCCTCCTCGTCCTCGTTCCTCCTTCTCGTCCTCGTTCCTCCTCCTCCTCCTCCTCTCTCCTCGTTCCTCCTCCTCCTCCTCCTCGTTTCTCTTCCCTCGTGCCTTGTTCTCCTCTCCTCCTCCTCCTCCTCCTCCTCTGCTCTCCTCCTCCTCGTGCCTCCTCCTCCTCCTCTTCCTCCACCCTCCTCCTCCTCCTCCCGTCTCCTCCTCCTCCTTCTCCTCCTCCTCCTCCTCCTCCTCCTCCTCCTCGTCCTCCTCCTCCTCCTCCTCATCCTTGTCCTTCTCCTCCTCCTCCTCCTCGTTCCTCCTCCTCCCTCGCAGGGGTTTGTCTCCTTCGTCGTCGTCCCGCCTGGGGCCGTCGGTGGGCCCGACCGACGCCACGGCTGGGCGCCCGCTGGAAACACAAGGCAGAGATGGCTGCCAAGATGGTTGTCTTCGGGGATGGGCTCAGGGCGGTCGCTGGCATGGGGCGAGGGGGAGAGGGGGGAGGGGGAGGAGCGAGGAGTAGGGAGGAGGAGGGAGGCGGGAGGAGGCAGGAGGGAGGGGGGAGGAGCGAGGAGTAGATAGGGGAGGGGGAGGAGCGAAGGGGAAGGAGCGAGGAGTAGATGGAAGAGGAGGGAGGGGGGAGGAGCGAGGGGCAAGGGGGAGGATGAGGGAGGGGGAAGAACGAGGAGTAGAGAGGGGGAGAAAGAGAGGAGGGAGTTGGGCGCAGAGCGCCTTCATTTCTACCCTGTCGCTGATCTCGTTGATCTTGGTGTCCACCGTGAGCACCATTGAGCGCAAGAAGCTGTTGCCAGTGAACCTGAAATTGAGGAAATCAAGGAAGAACACGATTTCGATGATGCCTCCGATCCAAGACTGCACGTCGGAATAATGCGGCATCTCGATCTTCTTGTATATCCAATTCAGCGCATAAAACACCCGGTACCCCCCCAGCATGATGACGTACAGGTTGGCACCCCAATCCTTTCCGATGCGCTCACGATAACAGAAGATGTACTGCGGTACCATCGCGAACCCCTCGACGAACTCCGAGAAAGTCCACAGGACCTCGAGCATCGTGTAGTCACTCGTCAGCAAGAGGGCTGCTGTGGCGCACGGCATCAAGATGATTGCCAGATTGCAGGTATCGTTTCTGCGATCGTAGGTTTCATCAAGCATGTAGAAGAGAGCCAATATGAGTATTGACGATGAGATGTACGTCAACTTGAAGAACACGAGGTAGCTCGACTGAGTATGATCAAGCAAGTCCAGATACCTTGTAACGAAGACTAGGAAATACAGGATTTGCGTGCTGCGCGAGAGTCCAGCAACAGACTTGTTCTTGGCGATTGTCAGTAGCATCACGACGATGCCGAAAAGGTGGAGGTAGTCACCTACGTAGCGAAAGACGTTCCACGAGTAGGCCGTGAAACTGGTAATGTCTGTCGAGCCGTGCAGCTTGTCCATCGAATCCATCGGCACGGCTGCCTCGGACGCCATGAGTCTGACGTCGGCGGCGACTCGTGCGCACCACCGGCACTGACTCCAGGAGAAGCCCCTGCCTGCTGCAGCCGCTCCCAAACCTGCCCAGAGCTTGAGCCGGCGCGGCCAAGACCGGGCACGGCGTGCTGCAACGGACGTCTGGCGTCGATGGCGAGCGCGATAAGGTCCTAAAGGGCTTAACGACTTCTGCAGTCCCTCGACTCGCGTGGAAGCGCCCGGAGATGCCTGAATCTACCTAGATTTATCTGCATTTGCCCCCATTTCTCTGGCTCGGCCCCCCCACGAGTCGATTGGCGAGCGGCGAAAAGTCGTCAAGCCCTTCGAGATGGGGGCGGCGCGAAGCGCCTGCCACGGCCTGTGGCCGCGAGCCCCCGAGGAATCCCCGCCAGGGGCTGGGCCCGCACACCTGCGGCAGGCAGCCCGCGGGGGCCCCTGGCGAGTGCCACGCCCTGCGCCCCACGGCTCGGTGGAGGTGCGCGGCACGCTCCAGTGGGCGTCGTGTCCGCAGATCTCGCCAGCGCTGCACGCGATCTCTGCAATGTGCGCCCACGCATGACAAATACATCGGGCAGCGATCCTCCTCCTCCTCCTCCTCCTCCTCCTCCTCCTCCTCCTCCTCCTCCCAACCTCCCCCCTCTGGTCATCCTCCTCCTCCTCCTCCTCCTCCTCATCCTCCTCCTCCCAACCTCCCCCCTCTGGTCATCCTCCTCCTGCTTGTGCTTCTCTTCCTCCAACTGGTGTCACCTATAGCTTTGTCATATTCCTCTTCCCACGCCTCCTTCCTCGAGGAGCAATTCGTACGCCGTGAAGCCGCCCAGGCGGGGGCCTGGGCGCTGATGTCCGCGCCCCGCACGGTGCGGGGGGCTCGCCTCGGCCTCGCACCTGTCTGTCGGCGGCGCGCCTGGGGTGAAGTGAGAGGGGGCGGGCCTCACTCAGAAGGCTCATTCTGAAAAACGGTCTAAACCTTCCCCGAAACAACTTTTTACGTCGTAGCGCGGCAGAGGCAGTCCGCACGCGCGCTCAGGCGGTCCGGGAAACGGGAATCGCAAATTAACCGGCGGCAGGAGGGGAGGGAGACAGGCGAAAGCAGCCGCGAAGCGGGCTTCCCCGAAGACGCAGAAAACTTCTCAGAAGACCGGAGGGCTTCTGAGAAGCCCTGTCGCCTTCGGAGAGGGCGTTCTCCTTCTCACGTCATTCCCCCGCTCGCCACCCCATCTGCATCCCCAGGCCAGGGCGGTGGGCCCCAAGCGTGGCATGTACGGGCCCCGCCCGGGCGGAGGCCTCCTGGGTCCTGGGTCGCCCAGCTTCGCGCGTTGCGCCCCGCGGTATGCGGCCATCCCCGCGCCCTCGCGTCCCCGCGCCTCTGCCCGTTCGAATAGGTTGGGACAGCTGGCGCCGCCTGGACGCGACGCGCGAAGCGTGTGGGCTGCGGGCCCCGCCTGGGCGGAGGTCTCTCGAGAGGCATGCGTCACTCCGAAGGCCTCGCTTGCACGCGGGAAGTGCGACAGGCACGGGCCGAACTTGCGACGTGAGGACTCCATGGAGCCGAGGACCGCCCAACGCCGCCACGACCACGCCAGGGATGCAATATACAACGCCAAGCGCAGATGCGCCTCGGAAATATTTCCTCGGCTGCTTCCTAGAATGTCCATGCAGTGGTTGTTGTGCTGCTGATGGCAGTCGTTAGTCTCTCCCCCTCTCTCTTTCTGTCTCTCTGTACCTGTATTTTGTCGCGCAAATGTTAGCATCTCGACGCATGTACATACAGACGCATGCACATACAAACATATACACATGTGTCGACATTTACAGGTATGACGATTACACATATGTATATGTATATGTCGGCGTATGCGTGTGCATAAAGTATGTGTTTTTCTTGCTCTCTCTCTCTCTTTCTCTCTCTCTCTCTCTGCATCGCACTGTCGGCACTGTATAATCAATTTCGGAAAGGAACAGAGAAATATAGAAAAAGAGAGAGATGGAGAGAGAGAGAGAGAGAACAAAAAAAAACGGTAACACACACGCATATGCACATATCCCCAAAACAGTACTTGAACTTAGGGGTTCTTACTGCTGTTCAATGGAGCTGGGCCGTGTCTTCGGTCTGACGGCATTGTGGCAGCTGTCGCCGCCCCGTCGCCGCCTCGTCGTCACCCGTCGTCTGGGCCGTGCCTTCGGTCTGGCGGCTCTGTGGCCGCCGTACCCACCCCGTCGTCACATCGTCGCCGCCAACCGTCTGGGCCGTGTCTTCGGTCTGGCGGCTACGTGGCCGCCATGGACGCCTGTCGCCGCATACATTGCGCACCACATAGACTCTCCATCGTCCGAAAAAATTAGGAATTACCCCCTTTTTTCCGTATTGCAATTTGCACATGATTCTGCCCCATCATCCGTCATAAATAAGAATCCATACCACCCCAGTTAGGCCGGAGTCTGGCCCCACCCCTCATCCTCTAGAAGAAGCTATGCGCGCGCATGCGTTGAACAAAAATCATCAGTTTTCAAGAACCCTTTTACAACATATAAAACTAATTGCACACGCGCGCGTCGTCGCGCGCGCATGCCGAGATCCTTCAAAACAACCAAAGTTTCTTAACGATTTCAGAATCGAGAACCACGAAAACATGCACAACCACACATGGTTTCGTAACATCCGACCAACATGCGCCAACGTTGTTGCGAACCCTTAAGAAAACCAACGGTTTTGTTTTCAACATGTTCATAACATGCTGCAGAACGGGCCTCTCGCGCGCGCGCATGTCGAAGTCGCTCGAACGCCCTTTGCGCGCGTGGCGCCGCAAAAAATATTTTGCAAAAAACGGAACGACATGCACACGCGCGCGTCGTCGCGCGCGCACGCCATAATTCAAAACGTAAGGTCCCAGAGTGATTTCAAAAATGAATGTTCCGAAACTAGAACTTTTCATTTTTTAACATAAAAAACACAATGTTTCTGGAACATCAGAAATCAAAAAGAAAAAATGCGCTCGCGGTCCTGCGGGTTCTTCAGAAAACCATGTTTTCAACATGTGCACCAAGTTCTGCCAACCTTGGCGTGCTGGGGGGCACGGTCCGTGTCACATAATAACACGTGGGCCACTCGCGCGCGCCGGCCGCGCGCGCATGTCGAACTCCTCTAAAAATCTGCATCGCCGACGCGAGGACATCTTCATCGTCATCGGCGTGACCAGCATCGGCGCCGTCATTACCCTTGTCGTCGTCATCGCCACCATCGCCACCGTCATCGCTACTCTTATAATCGTGTCTACCGTTGTCGCCGTCGCTATGACATCGCGCCCGCCCAAGTCACCGACTCGCACTGAAGTGCCCACTGGGAAGTGCCCAGCGGTCAGCGCCACCACGGCCGCGTCGGTCGCGCCGAACTAACTAGCCGCTGTGCGTGCGAGCATGCGCGGGCTAGCGCGGACGCAGAGATGCACCAGCCAACGCCAAGCACTCATCGTAATCGCCGCCGCATGGGTTTTGCAAACCAAGTTGCGGGTGGGAGGGCGGGATGTTTGCAAGAGCATGGAAAGTGTCAACTCGCTTGTACAAACCAAGTGCACCACATAGGTTGCACGGCAAATAGTGCACAACGTAGATTGCCCAACATATGTCAGCCGGCGCGGGCCCCAAACGGTGTGTATCTTTCCCCAATCAGAGCTTGCCCCTGTAGGGGTCCCAAATCGATTCATATGTGTAGGTGACCTACGTCGCCGATTTCGGTTGCCGGCCCGGGTGCCCGGGTGCCTGGGTGCCCATGTGCCCGGGGGTGCCCGGAGGTGCCCCAGGGTGCCCGGAAATGCCCGGGGTGCCCGGGTGCACGGGTGCCCGGTAGCTATAGCCCTATACCTTATTGCACAAGAGCCCTATAGCAAGAGCCCTATAGCCCTATAGCCCTAAGCCCTATAGCACTGTAGCCCTGTAGCCCTATAGCCCTATAGCCCTATAGCCTTATAGCCTTATAGCCCTATAGCCCAATAGCCCTATAGCCCTACAGCCTTATAGCCCTATAGCCCTTTAGCCCTACAGTCCTATAGCCCTGTAGCCCTATAGCCTTATAGCCCTATAGCCCTACAGCCCTATAGCCCTGTAGCCCCATAGCCCTATAGCCTTATAGCCCTATAGCCCTAGTAGCCCTGCAACCCTATAACCCCATAGCCCTAAAAAGATTATGATTCGTGTTTCTCTCTGGTATCCTGCAATATTTCGTGTGCAAACTATGCGGGATCAGATTTACGATGCAACCTAGGTGGTGCAGTGCACGCGGTGTTGTACATGTGGTGCAACCGATGTGGTGAACCTCTGTGGTACAAAATATGCCCGTGATCTGTAGTGTGCCATCTATGTGGCGCAACGCATGTAGCACAACGTATGTACAATGTATGTCGCACAATTTACGTCGTGCAATATACGTGGTGTCATTCATAGATGCAGTCCAACGCGTGGTGCATCCAATAGTGTGCACTGTATGTTGTGCGATCTGTATTCTGCAATATATGGTGTGCGACCCATGTTGTGCAACACGCGTGGAGCACTATTGGTGGAGCAACCTATGTGGCACAATCTGCATGATGCAGCCTATGCGTTGCAATCTATCTGGTGCAATCTGCGACCGATGTTGTGCAACACGTGTCGTGCGACCTACGCAATGCAATCTTCATCGTGCAGTCGATGTGGTGCAATCTACGTGGTGCAATCCACTCTGCTGAACTTGAAGTCGTCATCTCCACTGCTCGCGCAAACATCCCACCCACCCACCCGCAACTTGGTTTGCAAAACCTGTTAAGACCGACTACGGCGACACCGACGACTAGGACGACACCGACGACGTCTCCGACGACTTCGACGACAACGACGCCGACGCCGACGACGACGAAGACGACGACGACGACGCCAACGAAGGCGACGACGAGGGGGGAGGAAGGACGACGACGGCGACAACGACGACAACGACGACAACGACGAGGGAGGAGGGAGGACGGCGACGACGCGAACGACGACGAAGGAGGAAGGACGGCGACGCCGACGACGACAACGACGAGGGAGGAGGGAAGACGACGACGACGACAACGACGACGACGACGACGGCGACGAAATAGGAGGGACGACGACGAGACGCCGACGACGGACGACGACGACGACGTGGGAGGAGGAGGAAGGACGACCACGGCGACAACGACGACGGAAACGACCACGACGCCAAAGAGGACGACGACGACGAACACGAGAAAAGACAGAGGACGACGTAGGCGACGACGGACGACGACGCGGGAGGAGGGAGGACGGCGACGACGACGACGACGACGACGCAAGAGCGCGCGCGCACGCTTTTGTTGAAAATCCGTGTTGCGAAACCTTGGGTTTTTGTAGGTTTTTTGGACGCACGATTTTGAAATCCTTCCGAAACCGATGGGTTTTGAAGGTTTTCGGCATACGCCCG